GGAGAAAAGAGGCTACTCCAATTCTACTAAAATATTTTTTCCTTTTCACACTTGCCTTAATTTTTGGATGAGCTATTAATTTTTTTGTTTGGTTTTTTTTTGTTTGTTTGTTTAAATTCGGTATTAGCTAATGTCAAGAAGCCAGTTCTTTTTAATGACTTAAGAAGATTGGCTTTTGATTAAATGAGAGCAATATGGGATATAATTTTAACTGATGGAGCAATGATGATTTTGTAGGCGGGTAGGCACTTTTCAATCTCCTACTTAAAAAGATATAATAAGTTCATCCTTTTTCAGGAATGTTTGCATAAATCCCAATTTAGTATTAAAACTAATAAAAAACCAACCTGGTAGGAGTTCAGTATTAATACCAGCAACTACTTTGAACAGCACGGTGAGATGTAGGGGTTTTCCTGAAGATCAGAAGCCCTTGTAATTTTTAGGTTTAATTCTTTCTATCTTGCCAAGATGTTAACCTGCCTAATCCCCCAAAAGTGGTCAATATTCACTATCCCACTTTCACAGAGCTCTTAACTGATTGTTTAAAATTGTACCATAGGTTGGAAAGAGGGAATTTTGCTACATCTGAAACAATCTATATAAGAAATATGTTTGGTTGGCTGGGGTTTTTGTTTGCTTGGTTGGTTTTGGTTTGGTTTTTTTTAGTTTTCTTTTTTTTGCTTTCCTTTATTAGTGATTATGAATTATCCAGTGCCTTAAAATACGTAACTACAGGACCCAACTTCTGCATCAGCAGTGACATCATATCAGACATCAATTGTCTGAAGAGTTTCTGTTTGGATGAAGCAAGGCCTGGGCTGATTTTTCTTGAAAGCAGAGGAAAACTCGCCATTTACCATAGCAAGAGCTAGAATTTCTCCTGAAACAGGAGTTCCTTCATATACTCAAGAAGACTATGTGACTGTAAAATTGGAATTAGAACCTCTAATGTCTTATGAGAATGAGGTTGCAACCTGTATGAAAGCCTTTCCGCCTTCTAACTGCCCCCTTGCTTTGTTAGCTTACGTCTTATGTGCTATACAGCACTGATAGGTTGGATTTTAATATATATGAACATAAATTTTAATATTTGTGCAACTGGAAGTCACACACACAGACATACATACATATAAAAATGAGATAAAACTATACGCATACAGAGAAGTGTGTGTGTGAGTGTATGTAAAAAGCACTTCAGAGGGCTTTGCTACTATCATTAAAGTTTTGCTATAGAGTGTAATGAGAGTGAGAACATGCCCTCTGTTATGCAGAATTATTCTCCCAGTCTCAAGGGGCAATTTTGTATCTTATGTCTGTAAAATGAAACTGATCTCACAAATACTTAGCCCAGAAGTGTTCATTTAATCTTGGAAGTAGTCCCACTGAATTTAATGAGCCCTTAGATGGTAAATTCTTTGGGGCTCTTATTTTCCTTTGTGCCTTATTCAGTGCTAAGCACAATCTCCATTAGCTCTTACATTAACATCTACTGTTACTTACAGCACAAGGCTTTTACTTTTTGGCTTGAAAATGCTAATTCAAACACATAGGCAGAAAAACTCTGAGGCAAAAGACAACAATTAAATTAGAATTATTCCAAAATTACATTTGAGGAATCTGAATTGGCTTTGTGAAATTTCAGAAGCTGCATTTCTGAGTGCTGCTGCAGGGGTTGTCTGATTCGGCCTTAACTGGAAAAAGACTTTTACAGCCATTGGGATCTTTGAGAGGACTTCAGTTAGTAAACTCACCAGCCTACAGATGGGTGCTGATAGTCAAGGTAACTCTGGCTTCTGTGTGGCTGGGAGTAAGTGTAGAAAACCACAGCTTTTGTTAACTCCAATGCTGACAGCCAAAGGTATCTGACAGTTGCCCATCGGGATCCTCTCAAAATCCATTCCAGTTAACAGCATTTTTCCAACTGACTGCACCAGCCTCGGATGAGCCTCCTCTTCTGCATGCTTCTCAAATCACATGCCTAAAATAAGCTTCCTGGAGGCTGGATTTGCTCAGTAGAATTAATGTGGTCTGACTATATATTTATGATTAAGTTACATGTAAAGCACAAGCTCGTTTTAGATAATTGACACACCATTTTTTTCTTCCCAGATGGTTTCAATCTTTAGCTTCAGAGCAGAGGATAATTTAACCTTGCCAGCAGAGAATTTCTAGATTTTATAAGTTTATAAACTTTGTAAGCTTTCTGATTTTGTTAGAACAGCATTTCTATTCCAGTGGTGTAAAACAATGTCCCATGCTGGCCAGAGCTCAGTATGAGGGTTACAGTGCATGACCATAGTCCTTAGCAGCATGCTTGGAAAGAGTTAATGGAAAATTGTGTATGGTTTCTTAGGTATTTTTATCTTGAGGGGTTACTTTGCTAGCATCAAATCATTTTCTCTTTGGGGAAAAAAAGAGGGGTAGAAAATGGGAGGAAGAGGGAGCAGTAATAAATACAAATGTAGGCAATAAATCCAAACTATTCTATCATTGCTATGAGAAAATTAGGTGAGACAAGTTGATTTGTGTATTGGTTTTCACTTTAAAACCATATTTGAAAGGCACATTAGCTACTGCATTGGTTTTCATGTTAAAAAATGGTATTCTGGCTCAGCAGTGCTGTCAAGAAGTACAATATGTCCCACCTCATTAAGTATCATCTTTTTCCTCTCCATCTGTCTAGAACAGCAGGAAAACTAGTTTTCAAATAGAAAAATAATCAGTTTTATACATTTCCTTTCTTCACCTCTGTATCTGCATTCATCTAAAAATTCAATCAGATTTCCAGGGAAGTGCTTCTAGAACTACAATTCTAATAAAGGTGCCATTCAGAACATCAGGGTCTGTTGTTTGGGGTTCAGTAAGGTGAGCAACTATGAGAGGACCCCCCCCAAAAATATATTGGACACATGAGGAAAGGAAAACCTGCCTGTTTAATAGAAATATAAACTGTGGTTGTTTGACATCACAGCTAGAAGAAATTTAAGAAGGGGGACATTTCCTTTTCTGTTTGAATACGTGACCAAGTGTTCATCACTCTTTCAGTGTTAGAAGCAGTGGAGCACTTTGTGCCTGAATGCATGATTTATATGGAAGTAAATAACTGTGTCATATATAGGAGAAATGCCTTGGAGATTATTTGACTCATGACAGACAGTACTGTTCAGTTTAAGGGCCTGATCCGCTACAACAAAGTGTAATACTTGCCACTTGCTTAGCTGAGCAGACAGCAGCAAGCTCCAGATGCTGGCTTTACTGCTGAAACTAAGAGAAAAACAGCTTCAAAAGCCAGGAAGAAAAGGCAACAGCAAAACCATCAAAACATTGCCTGTGCTTTCAGGTAATTGCATTCATCACCATTCAGTTTTTGGGAATCCCGGCATTCTTCAGGTTAAAGTGATTCCCCTCATGGGACTTGTATCAATGGCATCTCCTTATTCTTTACAGCAGCCACTCAGAGGTGCTGCAAGATACCAATTTTAAGCCTGTATTGTCTTTCTGAAGAATACTCCCAAAGACTGAATGAGGTGCTCTGATTAAACCTTTTTCTTTCAGAGGCCTCAGAGCAGACTGATAACTGTTCAACTAGTTGGAGTACTGATAATGAATGAATAAAACTGTTAACTTCAAAAGGTCACTACTTTGCAAAGCCAGAGAGTAGCTATGGGCAGGAGTTGGCAGCACACAAGGTTGGAGTCCCACATCAGAGGCTGGGTAGAAAATTGTATTTTGTAGCTGAGATAATACCAGAGGATGTGTAACTGTGTGAATACATATTGTTTGCAATACAAAAAGCCGTTTTTAAAAAGTAAATAAATACAGGTTTAGAAAAAGGCAAATAGGCTAGCATAATTTATTACCTGCATTCTAAAATGTTTACATCATTAATTCTACTGTAGACACAAAAGGTAAGAGACCCCAGTGTGTCACAAAAGAAATAAGCATGCAAATCCATTTCAAGCCACAGACATCAGTTACCAATTTGCCACTAGGTGATGTTTAACAATCTGAGAGTAATGAAAGGAATTTTCAGGGAGAATAATTTAGTGTTCTGGGATATGCATGTGCTGAGGATGATGTCATACCCTGAAAGAATAACTATGCAAACCATAAATAGTCTTTCAGCTAGAGAGACTTAACACTTACTTTGCAAGACAGAGTGTTTCTTTGAAGAAAATGCTTTTCTCTTTATCCAAAGTCTTCTTTTTATCCAAATAAGGGTATTTCAAATCATAAAGCAAGTTTTACTGTTAAAAAATGTTCTAAACCGTAGTATGCTCTAGTGAAAAGTGAGACACGTAACAAAATAGGAGCACAACTTAATAATGAAGCACAGGAATGGGAAGGGAGGCAAGACGTTGAATCCTTTTAGCACGATGTCACCGACTTGCATTGCAGCCTGAGGCAAGACCCTGGTCTGCCTCCCAAAAAGAAGGGTAACCTTACTTATGTTACAGGGTCACATGAAGTTTAGTTAGCATACTGTGTGGTGTCTCTTGGCCTTGGTGTAAGTGAAGCTGTTTGTCTATCAACAATGGGACCGAGACAGTTGTATCAGCAAAAGCATTGAGAATCTCAGGCTAAGAGTGTGTTGGATGTACATGTTTACACACCTAAAGCTTGCACTGACCATAGTGCCAGTGTTCCCAATATTTAATAATACTGAGATCTTATGTACCTTCAGAGAAGTAGAAAAAAGCAAGATGTTCTTGTAAAGATGCAAATGTAAACCAGCATTTTGGAAATTAAGATATTGTGCTTACTCTTGGCTCTGATGAACTGATTAGCCCCAGGATTAGTACCAGGTAACTGGAATGCAGTTTATAACCCCAAGCAGGTACTATATTACCTTCCACACCCACTGCCACCAACTGTGTTTTGCTGGTGACTTCATCAGACTGGCAGATTCACACAAAGGTCGCTGGACTTTGAAAATTTAAAAAGGAAACGTCACATTCTTGCCCTGTCTTTGACATTCTGCCATTGTCTCTTTTCCATAGCAAGCTTCAAGATCCCACTGGAACTTGTGGTATTTGGACATTGTATTAAGTACTTTATCTAAGGTCTGTGGAAATACCTACTTACTGAGCTCTGCTCATGCTCACACACATCTGCTGCTCGCTTACAGTGGAAATCTCATAGACTTTTCCCTTTTGCATCATGGGAAACCATCTCAGAAATGGCACTCTGGAGAGTTAAACCTCTTTTTTTAGAAAAGACTGGAGGAAAAGAAAGGTATGAAAATAGAGTAATACAAAATTAAATACATGAATTTGATGATGCTGTGCTGGTTCTAGACTATATGCCATCTTTTTCTCATCTCCTCTTCAGTGTATAGCTCATTGCTCGCACAGTCTCCATGCTTGTTACATTCGATGAAATAATCTTTCTGTACTACCCACCTGTGCTAGGATATCTGAGTATATATACAAAAAATAATGAGGCTTATTTTTAATTTAACAACATAATATTTGGGTGGGGATGGGAGAAAAGGAGGGGAGGTTTCTGTGGCTGCACTGTGTAACAGGGATAAAAACATAATCTTTCTCGTAGATGTACAAAATTACTCTCCAAGTAGAACTGTTTGCACTGCATAAAGGTAGAATTAAAAAATGCAGGCAAACTGTGAGGTGGGAAGGATATCAACAATACAGGCAGATCTTGCTTATTTTGTCTGTTCCAAGCAGCACTGCTTTGCTGTGGCAGCTGCTGTAGCTCTAGGGCTGAAACAGCAGCTGCCAAGTACTACCTGGAGGTGCTGGAATTTTTTTCCTCTAATCCCTCCATGCTGGGCTCCTGCTCAGCCACAGTGTACTTGGTTATGGTGCAGGATTTAGGAATTGGGCAGTAAGCATTAAAACAGCTCCAGACAGAGATTTTTATCCACCTTGTCTAAAAACAGTGCAACCCTGGAAGAAAGGCAGTGAATGTACTACTATCAAAAATCACTGCTGTGCAGCAAGATAGAAGGAAACTTGTTAGTATGCCCCTATTACTCAAATGTATTCTGGGTGATGCATTTCATGTTTGCATATACTTTGAGATTGTGGGATAGAAGGATTTAAGAATAAGAACGGAGCTGTAAGAATGGTCAGACGATTTCCTAATGCTTGAGAATTGTTAGCAAATAAGTCTGAGTGATGGATTATTCCTTGATTTTAAAGAAAGCCTCTTTATACTTTGGAAAATTATTTGACACACACACAGACACCCTCCATGTTGTCCCCTGGATCCAGAAATCAAAACCCTAGTAAAAGTATGTGAATTCCTATGGTCTGGGCCAGATCATAAGGGAGAAACTGAATGAAGACATAGAGGTGATACTTGCCTGTTGCTTTTGCCAGCCACTTGCATGTCTACAAAGCTCACCTGCAGCAATTATGTACAGTACATTTCAATTAAGCCCATACTTAAGGAGAGACCTAGCTGAAGATGACCTTCAGGACTATTGCTTCTGTGGACTTCTGCAAATTGCAGAAAATAAGTGAACTGCAAATCACCTTTGTACTGCAAAGAGAAATTGATCCGAGTTCAGCTGGAAGCTGGGGAGGTGCCACCATGTATTTGTAGTGGGCCTTGTAATCTTTCCCTGGGTACCCACTTTGGCAGGTGTCAGAGAGAGGATATGAAGCTAGACAGACCTTTGGTCTGACCCAAATCATCCCTTTGTGCAGGCATGGCTTGTTTGCAGTGTCATTGAGGTAAACCTTAGATGTAATTACATCATTGAACTGCAGTTTGTGTTGGCCATTTTAAAACCTTAATTGGGCAATAAAACTGGAATCTAGATTATGGGTGGAGTCCTCCGACTGGAAATAATATGCGGGAATGGCAATCAACACACACTTCATGGTAGGGACTAATGGGAAAGGCTTGTTCTACCTGAAAAGTGAGTGGTAATTAGTGTATTTTCATCACATCAGTCCACTTCCTTTACCTGCCAGTAATTTCTTCTGATGCTTGTAACTAAAAAGAAATGTTCCTGCTTTCTTCTGCTGCTTATTCTTCACAAGCCATGTATATAACAAATAGTGCTGTTCTAACACAATTGTTTATTAAGTTCCAACCACTGCCTCCATTAGAAACCTGCTGAAGGCAAATGGACTACACAGTTGTCACTGAAGGCATAATTTAATGATGCAGTGTATCTCTACACTGATGAATTCAGCGTTTTTACTGTGGTTAGTCTATGGTGCGTGGAGCAGAAGGTACCTTTGTTTTGCAGACCTGTCTGTGGGAAGCCCTCTTTCTCTCCTTTGCTCTTCTGTATAGGATAGACAGAGCCTATTTATTAAAGGAGCCTTAGAGGTACAAAACTGAAACCCTTGGATGCCATTTTTACAGTTCCTTTTCAGAAGGTACTTTGTCCTCCAAGCAGTTGGTTTCCAAGTGGCCTCTGGCACCCCATAAAAAATTGCCTTGTTTCACATTTGGCAACAAATTATATTGCTGACCCAGTGCGTTAACAGCAATGGTAAATAGTGAAGGATAGATGGAAGGCTAGATTTGGGTGAGAAATTTGTGACAGGCTTTTATGTGAAAACATTTAGTATCTGCTTCCACTTTAATAGCTTATTGTTTTTAAGTCGGTGACAAAAACATCCTGCTGAAATAGGAACACTGGGATCCCATTTGCAGAGAGAACGGTGTTAGACAGAACTTACTATCATGTAGACGTGACAGTTTATCAGGCAAACATATTAGTTGCTAGTTTTACTGTTATTTTTAAGACTGCTGAGAAAAGTTGCTTTAACTAGGTTTATGAACTTTCAAATGGATACATAAAATTATATCTTGTCTTTGCTTATCCGTAACAGAAAGCTACTCTGGTAAAAATAGAGACTTCATCTTTCAGAGGTTTACTGCACCTTTATGTTGCCCTCAGGCCGTTTCTATTTTTCTTGGGAGAAAGCTCATTCATATTTCCTCCAGAATGAGACCAGTCACTTTCACTCTGTAAAGGCTAGAGCTGTTTGTGATAAATCCTCAGTCCTTGTGGTCACGTCTATTTGACTAAAGTGTAACAGTTATTTCTCTCTTGTGATTTAAGCATCCACATTTTGTAGTTGTGAATTAAGTATTTTGTAATATATTGATTTGTCATATATTGAACCACATCATTGCTGAGACAGAAGTATTCTAGAAACACGGCACTCTTCTTTTTTTTCTGTAACAGAATTTAGAATAAGTATCAAAACAAATTATGACAAATTATGACATATGGAATAACAACAGGCTGTGTAAGAATTATGAATATGCTCCAGGTTTAATGTAGATGGAAATAGAAGCACTTTCATACCTGCCAAAGCCTTTTACCAACATTTTGAAAACTGGTGTTTACATTCTTTGAAATGTTTATATCTAGAAGCAACCTCCTTCCTTGGCAAACTGAGTTTAAACCATCTTGGACCTCTGACAACCAAACTGACGAATCTCTTTATGCTCTGATGTTGTTTTAAAGCTTGTTTTGAATAGGAGAGTTAACAGAAGTTAAAATTAAGGAATGGGATTTAAGAAACTAGCTTCTGATGAAGAAGCCTCCAGTGGTTTGCTCCATATGCCCAATAAGATGGATAAGTATAGTTATCAGTCAAGATGCCTTTTAGGAATACTGAAAAAAAGAAAGTGCAAGAGCACCAACAGCATTCTCTTTTACCAAACCCTTTCTCTAAGATTTGTGGTCTCCTGGCATTCCTGACCCTTCTATAGTACAATAGTGCAGCATAGATAGCGTTAGTACAGTAGTAGTACAGTGTGGCTGCGATTACAGCTTGCATTTGGTACCAAATGACCCAATAACTGTTTGGTTGTCAAATTCACATGGTATCCGTAGGGTAAGGGTTACCCAGTCCAGTTTTTCTGGTCCAGTCTTGCTGTTTCTCTGTCCTTAAACTTTCTCCACAGATACAGGACAGCATCCTAGTTGCAGTCCAATACAGGGGAAGGAATGGGGTAAAGGAGGACTCTTCTCCCTCTTACTCCTCTCCAGCAAAGGAGTAAAGCAGAAAAGAGCTGTGCAGTTGTGGGCTCAGGGAGCATCCCTGGGAAGTGAAAGCGCTGGAACCCTTGTACCCTGGCAGATGAGAAGGTGCTCTACCTTTCCCTCCAGGGTACCAGTAGAGAGTCCAGCTGTTTCTTTCTCCCACCCTTACAAGTGAGGTGAGATCAGATGAGCTGGGGGTTAGGCTCAGGTTCATCAAAGACAGTCAAGTTCTCGTGGTTCTCTCTCTTACTTGCCATATCCTCAAAGGGTATTTTTATTGTTATTAAGAACAATTCTCCCAGTACAGCTGCACCTCTCTTGGATCAAACAGTGGTATAGCGAGGAGTTAGAGAGACTACCTGCTCCTGTTTGCTCGTTTTGAGCAAACAAGCTTTACCCATCTTTATTCATTGCACGTCACCAGAACAAATGGAGGGCATAAAGTGCTTTGCTCTTGCCCAGGCTGGTTTAAAAAAAAGCTGCATTTAATAGAGAAAAGTCTTGGATTCTGGAATAGAAGCCGTGTATGACTATCTCTCAGATGACACTCCAATTCAGGAGAAGTGGTGAAAGGACATCTGTTGGCAAATTGCCTTTCTGGGTTATTGAGAGCAGCAAGTTGAAAAACAGAAGAGATATGTGGGATCCCAGCTGACCATAAGAAATCAAATTGTGCTCTTTAAAAGAAAACTGATTACCAGACATATTAAGCTTTAATCTTATTTGCAGTTAGATGCCCCAAAGAGAATGCTTTGTTGGAGACCTTCCAAGAACAGCTATTGCAGACAGCTTGTAAAACAAAGACAATGTGATGGAAAAAAATGCAAATACAGCTCAACATTTGCTGTAATAAAGTTAGTTTATGACACCCTTTGTAACAACCTCAACAATAAAGGCCAATTTCTTCATTGGCAATTAGCTCTGGTGGGACAGACGCTTCCCCAAAGTTGACATGAAGACAATATTTACATATCTCTTTCTTTTTACAAAGCAGATTGTATCTGGCTTGTATGTATACTTTTTATTTCTGAGGTTTTCTTTTAAAAACACCATTTAAATACTGAGTGTAAAATGACCTCCACCAAGGTACTGCTTGTTTGCATTCAGTTCAGATGGGATGCTGCTTCATATTCCGGTGCAGCAAACTGCCAAACCCTGACACAGTGACCTGCTTCAGCTGGGGAATGTTTTAATCCCAGTTCTGTGAGGATTCTTTGGCAAGGCTGCTGCTGGCTGTTGTCCTCACGGCCCTAAGCCACGTTGCTGACATGAATGATGGTGACACATACTCTGTCTGTGGGATCTGGCCCCTAGTGCCTCTGTTTACCTTGCAGGTAGCCTGAACTTCAGTTCCTCATCTGCCCAAAGCCTGGCAGCTTTGGCATTTGTCCTGGCCAGTTCATCTCCCTGCAGCTGTAGGTGGGCCGCTGGTGTAGGAGAGAGACTGCACCCATGAGTGCCTGCTACAGTAAAAATTACACAGGAGGTTTTCCCTCTCCAGGCACTATTTTCCCCTGACCTGGCATTTTGCAAGGTTCTGGGAACATCAGAGGGGTGGCACGGTTTGGACAAACGTGTAACCAAAGCAAGAAAAATCCTTTATTTTCCCCTTTCTCCCCTCCAGGACAATCAGAAGGATAGCATTGACCATAATTACAAACCATCCAAAGATTTAAAAAATCTATTTATTTGTTGCCATGACTTGAAGATGTATGTATTTTAAAAGATCCCTCCAATAATAATTTTACGAAGTTGACTTAGAGTGCTCCACAAACCATAAACCTGAATCTCAATGTACTTCTCCTAATACACATGCCATAAACTTGGTCCTTAAATTATAGACTACATTTTTGAATGTACACTTACTCCAAAATTACTTTTTTTTTTTCCTACATGGTTTAGTGAGTTCATATCACTTCTGAAAGTGTCTTTGGCTGTATCAAGATGTCTCACGCTGACTTCTTCTTTTCATGAAACTGATAACATTTTTGCTAAGTGAGTTTCCTAGACTCGGTTGCAATGCAATATAATAGATAATCGAGGTGTCATAAAGACATTCCACCAGAGGGGTTTGGGATACATTCTACGGCATCATCAATCATAAGGGAACAAGCTTTAAGCTGCTTGCATACAGTGAACTGCTTGCAAACAATAGATCATTCTTGCTAAAACTTTTTAGCGTAAATTGAAACCACGCATTTTTGGCATAAGGAAGCCCGATACTTCTCATATTATTTGCCTGTGTATAAACACACACGTATTCAATCCCCAGCCTATAAATGCTAAATGAAGGTAGCTCTATGGTTCCTGCAGTGGTGTGCATTACCTCTCCTGGGGAAGATGCCTGTCACAGTACACAGTCTCTGGTGAGTGTATTAGCTGAGTAGCGCAGTGAAGCTCAAACATTTAAGTTGTTTAAGCACACAAGGAATCCCATTCAGCTCGTTGGAGATGAACGTATGCGTGAGTCCTGTACCGGGCAAAGAATGGCTCCTTGTTCTACTGTTTATGCACTGGCTACCTTGGTATTTTTACATATGTGTTTACTCTGTCACCTGACTACAATTTTAAGCATTTTTCAAACTGTTTTTTATTTCAACTATTTCAGTCAACATTAGTCAAAGGCACTTTTAGTCTAATCCTCAGCTTACCCTAGCCAGATGTCTCCTCTCCACAGAGTCCATCCTGCACTTTTTGACTCTTCCCAGCAAGGGGACAACAGGTAGATGGAGTCCAAGCACAAGCACCATGTTGCTACCTGCACTCTCCTGCCTAAAAAAAACTGAGACTGAAATAGCTTCATTAATGCTTGCAAAAGTAGGCAAGTATAGGGCTGTCAGACTACGTGTACATCAAAATGTATGGAGTAATAGGATTCTGTATGCGCTCTACCTAGAAAACTAAGTACTCATCCTCAACAGATCTGTAGGGGCACACAGGGATTCTGAGCTCACTGGTTTTGTCTGAAGAAAAAGTATCCCAAAGGAATGGTTGGGAGAACTAAGTGCCCTTAAAAAAAGTGTAAGTTACTTCCAAGGGAGGCAAGAGTAAATGGTACTTGCATGTGTGTCAAATTCTATGGTTCTATTATATGATTCTATGATTCTAAACAGAGTGAAAAATCAGCCTTATGGTTAGACAAACATACCACAGGGCTAGTGGCAGCTGCAAGTGTGTGGTGGGTAAAGGACTAGAACCAGTCAGTATCTGAACAGAAAGATCTTTCTAAAGAGAGAAACAGATGGAAGCACCAGCAGAATTGCAGGGTGTCAGCATGACAGTGTTCAGCACTCACCCAACTTTGTCTGCACACCTTCTTTTTCTATTTTTCTCATTTCCCTATTTAAATTCTCTTTAGAATATAGGTCTTCTGCCAAGGAACGTGTTAAATATGTTTATAATGAGCACAGCATGGTTTTGGGGTTCTGCAAACAAATACCTCTTTAAAGTTACACATCATTTCAGAGACTTGAGATTCACTCGTCAAGGAAATGCAGTGTTTTCTTCACTGAAACTTTGCTAGGCAGACTTTTTTAAGAGGGAACATAAACTTTGATCTGTAAACTTTAAAAAGCTGAATATAAGAGTAGGGAAAGATAAAACAGTTCCCAGAATTCAAGTGTCAAAAATATATTTTGGGGGTGGGGACAAAGTGATGTTCTGACTGTATTAAATGATCTTAGGACACAAACATGCTTACAGGGCGCGTAGAACCATATAATGGTTTGGATTGGAAAGGATTTTAAGATTATCTAGTTCCTACCCCCCCGCCACCGGCAGGGTGTCCTCACACTAGACCATGTGGCTCAAGGCTCTGTCCACGTCTAACATTTTGATGCTGCAGTGGGGCCCATACTCACATCGCACTGCCTTGCTTGGAGTCCAGTGCTAGTGGAGTCTTGCTACAGCCCAATAACCCAACACAACATTTCTGTCCACCATGGTGCGCAGCACACAACCTCCAGCAAAGCCACCCGTGCCCCAGCAAGGAGCTGGGGCCGGCTGATGCTGGTGACCCCCACTGAAAGGCGCAGCAAGGTCAATTCCGTCGCGCAGCTCCTGCTCGCCCTCCTAGGCCAGAGCTCCTTTTAGGGCGCAGGTACGGCGGGCGCAGGCGGAGCCGGGATGACACAGGAGCACACCGCACCTGCTCACTGCCCACAGCCCTGTACCGCAGTCCCCGCGGGCCGCCGCGCACCGGCACTGCACACCCCACCCACACCACAGTGTACGTGTATGAAGGGGGGCGCAGGCACAGCCGCTTCCACCCGCATGTTTGACTGGGACCGGCCTTAACGAGCAGCCCCCAGGCGGTGACCGCCGCTGCCGTACCGGGGTACGCCGCACCCCGCTGTGCGGAGCCCCCTCCCCTCACACCACACACACACACACACACACACATCCGGGGTAGCGGCGGGGCGGGGCGCGGGCAGGCGGGGGACGTGCCCGCGCGCGCTGGGGCGGGCAGTCACCGCCCCTCTCTCTGCGCCCTCCGCCGCTGCTGACGCCCCCACGCCGGTGATGGAGGCGAGGCGCTGAGGAGGGTTCGGGTGGGGGCGCCGCCGCTGGCGGCAGCAGCAGCAGGAGAAGCGGCGGTGCGCGGAGTGACGGGGCATGCGGAGCGGGCGCCGCCGCGGGGCTGCAGCGGAGGGCTCTCGGGCGCTGAGGGAGGAGGAGGAGGCGGCGGCGGGGAAGGAGGCTTTCCCGCGGGGCTCCGTGTGACCGCGCCGTTGCGCCCGGAGCGCGGCTCCCAGCAGCCGCAGGAAGAGCGGGGCCGGGGCGGCGGTGGCGGCGGTGCAGCAGCGCTCCTTCCCCGGCTGCGGAGCGAGGCGGCGAAAGGAGGCGCCGGTTCCCCGCGGCTGTAGCGGCCGCCGGCGGCACTCCGGCCGCGCAGCGGCAGCGGCGGCCGCGCCTCAACTTCGTGCGAGGCAGCGGCCGCCGCGACGAGCGGGCGGTACGCGGCTGGTGCCCGTCCCCGCCGCCGCTCGGAGGATTTACCCTGCGGGACTCTCCTCCCCGGGCCCCCGGTGACAGGCGCAGGAGCGGCGGGGCAGGCGCCGCACGGTGCCCCCCCCACCCACCACACACACAACGGCCGTCCGGCCGCCCCGCAGCGACAGAGAGGGCCGAGGTGAGTGCGGGCTCTGGTCGCCTCGGGTTCCGCTTCCCCCCGCCCCGCGCTGGAGCTGAGGGAAGGGGAAGCGCCAAGTTCAGGCGGCGGTGCTAGGCTTCTCCGCGCTCCCGCCGCCGCCTCGGCCGGTCGCCGCTTCCTCCCCACGGGCTGGCTCGGGGAGCGGGGCGGCCCCGCCGCGGTGCCTGCTCCTCCGGCCGACCAGCGGAGCGGGGCCATGGGCGCGCACAACCGGCTCCCGGGCCGATCCTCGCCGGGGAGAAGGGTGTGCGGCCGGCTGAGGACGTCCTGTTGCTGGTTCCAGGGGTCGGGAGCGGCTCTGTGTCAGCAGCAGACTCCAGGAGCTTGCCTCTGTGTATGTGTGTGTGTGCAGGGGGGAGTACCCTGGCAGCATCCGCGGCGCTACCTCTCTGCACCGCTGTCACATCAAGTTCTATCAGTTAATGTTTATTACATAATATGTCAATATTTTGTACTCTCTCTTATCTGCCGGAATCCGGATAATCCTTATTATATTTCCTTTTAATTCATAAAGCTGGAGAGGGTCAGGGAAACCAAGGTTCTCGTTCCTCGTAGTTGCCTAAAGCAACTCGTTCAAGTAGTTGCCTAAAGCAACTTAGTTTTCATGTGACTTTATCCGTGTTAAGAGAGGGTTACTACCTCCTTGCACTCTAAGAAAGCGGTGTATGCCGTCCATCTCCCCCTCCCTCCCCTTCGTTATTAAATACGGCTAAGTTTCTTTAGGTCCTGCCTGTTTTCAGCGGTCTCCAGAATCCGCCACTTTGTAAACTTAACAATGTGCAATACTGAAATAGAAACTAATTTTTGTGCAGCAGCTGCTGAGAGAAATAACTTTTATGGCGATGAGCAGGAGAGAACCAGCCTCTGTTGTTTATATAAATGATGTTGGCACTACATGAACTGTAAATGAACATAGCCAACAGCTGTGCAAACCAAAACTATGTAGCTAACCATGTATTTTTATACACTGCTGCTCTCAACTTCGCTCCTTTGCAAAAGCAGTGAAGATCATGTTGCTCTGAACACTTGGAACACCACAGAACTCGTTTTTCTCCTAAATACAAAGGATTGCTTATATTGGAGAAAGCATTTCACTTTCTAGTGCCAGCTTTGTCATTTTCTGTGACTTGGAATTTTGTCTGTGTCCTTCTGTGATGTTGGTCTTTTTTAAGTGGTAGTGCCAGCACTTTTTATCAGGCTTAATTTGTCTGTGAAGCATGAATGTGCATCAGAGACAACTCAAAATCATTGGCGATAGGGAGATTGTGGCAACGTGGTCATCTTGGAAATGGTACGAATGGTGCCTGTCAAGGACGCCACATTACAAGTCACCCTTCAGATCAGGGTGGCAATGATAACACTCAGACTATTATTGGATGCTGTCTGGCTTTTCAGAATTGTAAGTTGTGTGAATGAGGATACCTTACTCCTGATGTACCTCATTCCTGTGGGAACAGGGCAATTCAAAGACACTAATGGAAGTTATGAAAATAGTTTAAAGCTGCCATGTGACAGTCATTGCCTAGCCTAGTGGTGAGGTGGTACTGTTTCAGTTTTACACAATGATTTGTTCCTTCTCCCTCATCATCTTAGGGTGCATTTGTTCAAATGAGTTCAGGAATAAGCTATACAGAGAAAGATTAGAGTAGATTTCAGTACCAGATTGCTGCTTTAATGGAATAGTACCCCGCTGCCCTTTCTTGGTTGCATATATGTGGATAAGCTGTACATTAGGTGTAAAATTGTTAACTGTTTTTTTTTTTTCTGCTGTTGCAGAAAGGGTGTGATGTTTGTCTTTGGAATGAGAACAAAAAGTAGCTCCAGGAACACTCATCTAAAAATAGGGTACTTCCAAATACTTAAATGATTTGAATGCAATTTACATTATGTTTAGTACAAGAGACAAGAGCTTCTTGACAGATTTTGCATTTTATATATTCAGTGATTTATTTTTTCTTTTTAGTGCACATGCTAAGTCTCAGATGATCCACCTGGCACAAAAGTTTGATACACAGGGCCAAAATGGGAAGGTTTTTGTCTCTGCAGTCATCCTCAGTCTTTTTCTTTAATTGTGTTTGATGTGGAAATGCAGGAACCATCTCTGGATGCACATTGACCTGTACTGCGAGCCTTCAGTGCTTACAAGGAGATGGGCTGACCCACAAATTGAAATATAGTTTCTTTTTTAGCAGTTGGAGTGGGGCTTTTGAGAATGGTGCTGTTTCATGCTTATAAACCAATTGCTTTATCAAGAGTTTCAGAGTTCTTTTAGTGGTCTTAAATTATTAACCAAAGCCTGGAAGTCTGTACTCTGCTGTCTTTCAGTTACAGTGTGTGTTTTGCATTCCAGTGTTACTCTTCAGGATCTTGATTTTTAAATTTTATTTGGAAGGTGGTGGTTTAGGACCCCCACTTCATCCCCTCCTCTCTTCCCCTTTCCCCCCTCCCCCCAAGGGCCATCACTGTGATTTTAGCATTGAAATTATGGCAGTGACGTTTATTTGGAGTTCACTTAGATGAATAGCTCATGCAGATATAAGTAGTATTACAGGAGGCCAATGTTGAATACTTCTGACGTGGTATGGGGCTTGCACCAGTTACACAAATACTTAATAGAAGTGGGCCTGGATCCTTAAATGTGACATTCCTCATCACAGTCCAGTTTTCTGTCCTTCTTCATTATAAAGATGAACTAGAGATTACCTTGCATATGCATTGTATCAAAAGAGCATACCTCTGAACTGTATTCCCCCTTTCAGTGAGCAGCATCTTAATTTCTGAGTGTAAACTATTTCCCTCCTGTTTACGTTTTTTAGTCCATAACTATGTATTTTTTTCATGTCTTGCTTTGTGATTCTTTGTATTAACATTATTAATTTCTAATTCTTCACTTAATCTAATGTTGAAGCAACCTTTTGCAGGTAATGATTGAGAACTAACCACTAGTTTTAGTATGAAGATACAGTTTTGCTAGTGCTTGCCACTGCTGCTTTTGAATCCTGATATTTTTAATTTTCATCAGCTATGTTCTTATACTGAACAGAGATCTTCCTTGACTTCCACAGGGATGCTTGTAATCTTCTCATTTACACTAGGTCTACTCAGTTTAGAAGGTTGCTGACCATACTAATAATTCTGCCTTTAACTCTCAGTGACATTTCTTCTGCCTTTATTAACATTGAATTTATCTGCCACTGTTACACCTGTACATCATAGTTGATTAGCTCCCAGTTGGTTATGTTTTTGGTCTTCTGTACTTGGCTAACCTATATAACTGTTAACTTTTCTACTTTCCTTTCCAGTTCATTAATTAATGCCTTTAAATGTTGGTTGCTTTATGGATCCTTGGAGCATCCTGCTGTTAACCTTTTGCTGTGTTGAAGCTTGACTATGTATTCATAGTCCAAGCTTCCTGTTTCTTAGATAGGAATAAAACAAAATCTTTAAAGCAAAATACAACTGAAATCTGTGAGATACATCTGCAGAGGTGTAATCATAGCTTTTACTCAAGTTTTAGCACCAAATCTATTCTTGACAGTTATATTCTAAATTTAGCATCCCCAGATAAAATGTTTTAACAGTAGGCTTGTCATAAAAGCATTTTGACACCATCTTCCACTAATTCTGGCAAAGCATTTTTTCCCCTTTACAGTCCTTCTAGTGAGCTCAATCCATTATGCGAAATCAGCCCATCATAAAAATCAATGGAATTGATATACTTTTAGCTAATGTATTAAAGAGCTGGCTAACTGCTCTATTATTCACTTTTTGATTACTTAACTATGGTTTTGCACTATGAAATATGAAGGTTTTTAAGGGGCGTTTACTTTCGGCTGAATAGAAGCTTGTGACTTTGAGCACCGCATAAGTATCTAGTGCATGTACTGTTGTAGTAACTCCCAGCTGATTGAGGCATTCTTACCATCAGGTTGACATAAAGGTCTCTTGTTATAATCCACTAAAGAGAATTAACTTGAATTCTAAAGCCCTACACCATGCAAGTTACTGAGTTGTGGTTTGTAGTTTCTTGTAGGATACGTGATTTTGATTCCTCACATTTTCTTTGAAAGGCCAGTGGAACTGAGAAGTTAACATAAAAAGGTATGCTTAGCTGTCAGTGAAAGCAAATGTGCTTGGAGACCTGGTCCGTTAAGAGAAGTTACCCTTGGCAGGGTGGTCTCCCTAGATTGCCTCTTGCTATCAGTTACCATCCTTGCTTCTGTGATCCAGGGTTTCATTTTCAATCAGGAAAAAAAAATCCATGACTTTTTTTCTTGTTCTCTTGTGCCTTTAAGCGGTAGATAACTATGGTATGGCATTTGTGAAGTGGTTTCACAACTTTAGGTTTGTTGTTTTTTTTTTTTAATCCAAGGTATTTGGCTTTGGTGTTGGAGTAGACAGCTTCATTTCTGTGGAATTAAAAAGTTACCCTTAATAGGCAGAGCTTTGTAATGACGTCTTTTCACTGGAGTCAGTGTTTAGTGACCACAGCAACTCTCATTGATGGTTTCAGCTCGTGTATTTTTCCTTCATTATCAGATCTTTTCTAGCATTTGAAAGATAGGTAGGGACATTGAGCACAATTTATGTTGCAGGCTGCTATTCTGCATAACCTGATGGTCTCCAAGACATTTTGTTTGTTCTCATGTGGCAAGTTTTACTGCTGGAGAAGAATGGTATAAAGCAGCAGCAGTTTGTTGCTGTGGAGGTTCAGACTGTGGGACCAGCTGATGTACAGCTGCTGTGAAATTCATTCCTAGTTAAGGAGGGAAGTGTTTCATGCCTTTTTTTTTTTTTTTTTTTTTTTTTTTATCTTGTGCCATGCTGATATCAACTTTCAGAAACTTTATTCTGTTAGAAAACTTACCCAAAAGATAAGCCAGTTCAGTGTTCTGCTGTCTAGCTGAAAGAGCATTAGCATCCTTTGGAGGCAGAACATGTGAACTGCTCTTTGTTCCATAATGCTCATCTTGCTTTTTAAAACGTTGTCCTGTAAATTGCAAGCCAGTGTAATATTGTAAATGTTTTGGGAAGTCTGCTTTATTTTCAATAGTGCTAATATTGCTTAAGATGTGCGAGCAATAAAATCTCTAGATTTTTTTTTTTTTTTCTTACTACAGAGAAACTCTTACAATTTTTTTTGGTAGTAGTATTTCTTTGTAATGGGGTGTGGTACTTTTTTCATGTTAAGTTCCACA